GAGGTGTAGGTGCATAACCTACGTGTACTTAATTATGGGTTTTCCTTTTTAAAAAACTTACAAATTATTCTTAACACTGCTGATATTTTATATTGAATTATAAATAAATCTCTACAATTTCTTCCAATATGACAGCTTATATATTCTGAAATTTAGAAGTGCTTAAGAATTGTATTTAATATTCTAGCCTACAGTATTTGAACCAAATAACTAACTTTGGTTTATTTGCATTTACAAGGTAGAATAGTGATTTGATACTTAGTTCATTCTTAGCCTTCACTTTTTTCAAATATTTACACCTAAACAGTTTTAAAATATTGAATCCTGTGGCTTATGCATATTTGAGTCTAATTGAATAAGTATAGCAAAGGATTGCATGACAGAAACTGGAATAAAATAAATTTGATATCATAATAGAGAGAATATGTATATTTATATGAATAGTATATGTTCATGTTCCATTCTTTATTTAATTATGTTTTTGAAGTCTGTGTTAAAAATTGAACATATTTCATGCTTTTTCAACTTTTAGCTGTACAGTAACTTAATTTTTATAAACTTATCTTGTCAACAACTTACAATACTAATGTCAATAACATTTTGCCATTTAATAATTTCACGTTTGTTAAATGTGAGCCAGATATACATAAACCATTTATATAAAAAAATGTTTTAAAAATATTGAGACTTTAGAGAATAATTGATGAAACAATATAAAGCTTGCATGTTACCAAAAGCACCTTTTCAGCAGGACACCTTCTGGCTCTATAATTTTAAACTACACATATTTCCTATTCCCTTTAATTTCAAGAAGTATTTAGTAAAAAAAAGTTGCCACTTTGGTTTTCTGTCCATTATATTTCACTTTGCGTCTTCTTTTAATACTTAAAATTATTATTAGTATTATTTTTACTAAAGTAACCTAACATTTCATAGTTGCATTCAAAATTTAATCAAACTGTTATCATGGAATACAAATAAACTTGGGATCAAAATGTAGTTAATAAATAAAATTTTAATATTATATAAATTTTAAATTCTTAATTTTATAAGGAAATATTTTTAAATATCCTCAATCTCCCCTAGTATGAGAATTTTGACATTTTTTTTCTAAGTCTTCCCTCATCTTTAATTTCTTTAACACCCCTCTGAGAAGTACAGAATTTAATGTTAGTTACACATTATATTATAGATTTTACTAAGGCAAATCATACTTTTAATAGCCTTCAGTCTTATTTGTTTATGGAGCCATAAACTATAAAATCGGGCCCAGTTGCCATGCCCACCTGTCATATCCTCTCTTTCACAAAATTGCCAACAGTTCTTTCTGACTTTTTGTGCTACACTATGTATAACCAATATCAAAACAAAATATTAATCTATCGAATAATGTATTATATTCTTTTCTTTATATAACAATGCATATTTTCCCTCCAGTTTGAAAATTTCTTTCACGATATGTGCATAGACAATCTTAGCTAAATTTTTAAAGGCTCTGTTACAACAGCAGAAGTCACACAATGCTGGGAGCATGCGCGCTGGAGTTTCTAGAAGGATAATGACTTATCGAGGAACCCTGCGAATGTTCGAGTGTTTGCCAGACGCCCTCGTTTTTAGAATATAAGCCAGCGGGAGATAGATTGAAGATAGAGATAATTGAGTTAAGCAAACAGTAGGCACTGTAAATAAAATGTGTGAATCACTGTGATTTATAGTGT